GTATCTCGTCGAGGTGGGGTCGGGAGACCCTGCAGTGAGTTCCTTTGTGGGTAATTCGACCAAGCGGAGTCGATTGGCGAGGTGCACGCTTGGCTCCGAGTTGATCTTCCCTGTGAAATGGATCCCGCCGCATTTATTTTCGTCCAAAGGTGGCGCGAAACCTTTTTTTTTTTTTTTGATGCCGGAAATGGAATCTTCTGTCGGAGGGCGCCCTAGAACCGGTTATTTTTTTTCCTACCGACGGAAACTCGACGAGATACGGAGTTACACACTATGTGACCCCGGTTGGGTCGTCTAGCCAGTAGAAGTGGAGGATAGAGGCCAGAGGGGCAGACGGCAGAGTCCAATGATGGGAGAGAAACAAAACAACAAAAAACTCTTGTGAGGAAGGCGCCCGGGGCGACCATATGCATGCTGTGGGCTCCCGTTGCGGGTACGCCTCGGGGTTATGCATACAACTCCCGAAAATGAAATTCTCAGCCTGCACTTCTCACGTGAGTAAGAGTATATACGCGAGCAAGAGGATGCAACGCGGGAGCCCGCCGAAAGTCAAGCCTCACAACTATGATGCCTTGGTGAAGCCCTTTGAGCTGACGACGGGAGGCCTCGCCAAGCTGTTGCCAGATGAAATCGAAATTACCTCCAAAGAGTGAGTCTATTAGGAGTACTGCTGTGGTTGTTTCAAGTCAACAGGAGCAGTCAGCCTTTGACAAATCAGCGTCGATCACCCCGCATTCATTTGCAACATTGCAACCAAGCAACCAATCGATATTTCGCAGCAGAGCGCCAGCTCCTGCATACAGGCTCGAGCTGTGTCTACGGAGACATTCATTTGCTTCTTAGTGCCATTTTCAGGCTGTCAGGTTTAATCCATGCTGGCCCGTGATGGTGACTCCTAGTCTCGGTTGTTACCTCGCACAGCGCGCAGAGGGAGTGGAGGACTCCAGAACATCTGCCGTTGATTTCTGTTGACTTGCCGACCCGTCGGGGCCAGTTTATTTGAGTGTACCTTGTTAGGGTAAGTTATCCTGTGACCACGGGAATCGACCGCGTCGAGTGTTGTATCAGTACGGACATACGAGGTACTGGGTAGAGAGAGATCGGAACGGTTTTTAATGTGAAGACAACAACAAACGTACTTGGAGCATAAGGGTGTCGATGATGCACCGTTGTTTCGCTTTTTGACAGCGGTGCCTCCCGGCGAACCGTTGCCGCTACCCATAGACTGCACGTGGCCATGGCGGTTTTTTCCGTTGGTGTACAATGACACAATGACTTCTGCTGCCGTTGTTCAGGTGGTTTTTTCTCCCCTCAAGTCGCCCGAAGGTACATGTAGATATATAGATAGATATCGCGTAGACATGTCATCTCTCAGTGCGGGGGGGGGTCGCGGCTTATACTGCTGTACCAAGCACGCCCGTTGAGTGTGAGTACCTTTCTGTCGCTGCTGCTGCAGGGAGGCGGTGCTGTACGCGTGCAACGGCGACGACGTGGAGGAACGGTTACAGGGGGGAAGGGCGACGCTCACGACTCACCGGATACTTTGGTCCGAGCGCTCGCGAGTGGCACACGGCGGTGTCCACGTCTGCATCCACCTCTCCGGTACTACCGCCGTGATAGCGTAACAGCACAGCAGCACTGCTAACGGTTGTGCTTCTTGAGAATGTGGTGCACAGAGCTGGGGCGGTCATGCTGTTGAGTTGTTGATTTATTCCGGATGGCGCCGATGTGCTGGTTGGCTCTGTTGTATCGGTTAGTTGTGGCTTTTCACCTCTGGAATAGAAATATGAACACGTACAGACGAACACGAAAACCGCTACAAATTGTAGACCTTCACTGCAATAGGTTTCTACAGCACACGCGTTCGTGCCAACAGCAGTGGTTCGGTATTCCACGTCGGTTTGGTAGCAATCGGTGCACCTTCACGTGCCAGACGAGACCACGGGCAGCACTACAAGTGCAACCGGCTGCCTGTCACCGACGCGCGTTGCGCATGTCGTGGCTGGTGATAATGTGTGTACATCTAGCACTCACTTCTTGTTGTGCGCGCCGTTTGCCCGGTTGCTCAACGCTTCGTGTCTCGCTTTTTATCCAGACATTCGCAAAGCTAGGCCTCAACCACGGAGAAGATTCCTGAATTCTTCCAGGATACACATATTCCCGACCGGTCAGATCGATGGCGACAAACCAGGTAGGTGTGGGGCGGCAAGCGAGGACGCACATACGCATACACGCCCGCCAGGCGTCTCTGCTGAGAAGGGCCGTGGGTATTGCTCCAGAGCTCGAAATGGTTGATGCCGCACGCTGCGCTTGCGGAGCAGGAGGTTGTAGATTCGATTCCATTCCACGTCAACGAGAGCAGAGCTCCAAGGGATACATAAGCCCTACATGGTATTAACAGTGCATAGCTGTAGGGATAAGCGAGTGTCGAATCGTTTGATCGAGCTGCATCTTGCTATGGGATGTGGATTTGTTCCGATTGGGGTTGAAGATACCCGGTACATTTTTCTACAGCAGTTTTTTTCCGTCTTTTTACCCCCGACGCTTTACATACACTCCCTGGGCCTGTCTCCTGCGTGCAGCGGTGATGCTTTCCGTCAAGGGGAGAGACGACTTCTTCTCGCACATGGAGTCAGCCCTGGCGCGCAAGGCGTGGGTCGTCGAGACCGCGGCGGAAGTGATGGGTCGCCGGGCAGCAGGCGAGGGCGGCGGCGGCGGCGGCAGTGGCAGCAGGGCGTCGGCGGCGGGCGTTGCTGGCATCCTCCGAAGACAAGAGGCCAACCGAAAAGCGACGGCCGAGATTGCAACGGAGGCCTTCTCGGACCTCAAGAGCCTCATCGACAAGGCCAAGGAGGTGGTGGCCGTCGTGGAGCGGTACTCGGCTGCTCTCCAGGACAAGCAAACGGCGGCGGCGGCGGGGGACAAGGATGAGGCGGGCGACCCCACACGGGAAGCCGAGGATCTGAGCAGCATCCTCCAAGACATCGGTATCGCAAGCCCCGTCACCAAGACCAGCGCCGGCACGCGCTACCACCAGCAGCTCGCCCGGCAGCTGGCGGACTTCCTCTCTTCCCCGCCGGGGAAGCGCGCGGGCGCCCGGACTCTCCTGGATATGTTCGGCGGGATGATGACCCTGCCGGACGTGTTCTCGGTCTTCAACCGCGCGAGAGGCACGGAGCTCGTGTCCCCCGCCGACCTCCTCGCCACCGCAAGGCTGCTCGGCCCCACCAAGCTGGGTATGTCGCTCCGAAGATTCGCCTCCGGCGTGCTGGTGATCCAGGCGGACTCACACAGCGACCAGGCGGTCAGCGATAAGCTGGTCAAGGCTGCGAAGGCGGCGGCGGCGGGGAGGGGGGGGCGGGGTTGGGGGGATGGCCTTGTGGCGACCCAGGTGGCCAGGGACTTGCGGGTGTCGGTGACGCTGGCGGTGGAGCACCTGCGCACGGCGGAGACGGCAGGGTTGCTGTGCCGGGACGAGAGCGTGGAAGGGACTCGCTTCTACGCGAACCCTTTCGAACGATTCGTCAAGTCCATGGAGGAGGCGGAGTCGACCAAGGCAACCACCGCAACATAGATTTAATACATGTAGTGGCAGTTCAGTTGGGATGTACCTCCCGAGAATAGAAACGCCCTTGCGTGTGCGCAGTGATTACAATAGGTGGAGTTGGTGGTGGCGCGGAAGGTTTTCATCTTGCGCTTGCAGTACGTATGGACCATGCCGTGCTTGATTCTTGGATCGCGTTTCGTCTGGTAGTGGGAATGCGCACAACGCGATTGTCCAACGCCTCATGCGATTTTAGAGGCCGCGTGTCGCAGCCCCACGCATAGGTTTGGAGCCAGCTCGACGTTCGCTTAGCCATGAGTTGGTAATTGTGATTGCAAGCGCTGCAGTTCCAAAACCTGTGGAAACGGACGATGCCTACTGTGCCGCAAAGTCATGTCTGCAGTACCGCAATGCGTTTGGGATTCATACACTAGTAGACGGCGTGGCACTTGTAGCCGAAAACCGCCTCCTTATCCTGGTGCTTCCCTTCGCAGCACCAGGAGCACCTACTGCTGTAGATAGCAATTCGCACATCTCCCGCTGGACGCACTCATAGTGTTTGTTAGCGCTACCGCGAAGCGCACGACTTCGCACTGAGACGCCTGTTAGGTGAATGATTTTTACCACAGCAGCATAGCACCACACTAGTCACGGCAACATGTCGACTAAAGTCAACGTGGCATCTTAACTTCACGCCCACCATGCAATTGAACAATTTGAGTGATATCGACACATGTGGTCTACTCCTGCCCCTGTCGCACTGGGCGTCAACGGCCGCACGAACTCGAGCCAGGACACTCTTTTCTCATTTTTCCTGAGAGAACGCCATCAAAATGCAATGTTATATTTGTATATCACCTCTATACATCAAACACCAGCCAATTCATATTGGTCTGGTGGAAAGCAAAAGAAGAACAAACACTACCGGACAACATGTTTCAGAAAGCGAAGTCCTGACCTGCCGAAATGGTGTAGCCTCCTCTGGAAAACGGCATCTCAAAACTCTTGGCCAAAAAAACGAAATAGCTCTCCACCGGTGCCAAACAAAGCTACACTCCATTAGCTACACTCCCATCGTCCGGCGGGCGCATATTTACTTACGCATGCCCACCGCAAAACACGACGATAAAAAGGGAACAGCCATACGCACTACTCAGTACACGGTTCGGAAACTTGTCGCCAGAAAGTGGATGGGTGTTTCAAAACCAGAACAAGACTATTTTTAGTTATCGCAACACGCACGAACATCCACCACAGATACGGCACATACAAGTACATCCCAGAACCAAACTGAAAAAAAAAAACGCAGTGACCACTTGTTTTGGCACCACGTTTCAAGCAGGCACACCACACCGCTGTTGCTACTCAAGTACAACGTACGACAGCAACCACGGAGTGGGCTACACATGCACTTACTCATTCGCTTGACAAGCCGCCCAAAACAGGACAAAACAGGACCAGCTCCGCGAGGGTTCCATCGATACAATACATCGTGCTTGTTTTGTTGGTCGAGGTCCTTCCGTCCTTGAAATTACTTCCAAGTGCAGCGACACACTTCACGAGCATCCGGGGAGGGGTTAGCTCTTCCTCACACGCCCAACACGGGTTTTCCATAGCAACTGGCTTTTGCCTCAGCAACCACTCAATACATGCCATGCCAGGCCTGATCTCGAGCGACCGAGAGAGAATCAGGCCTCCCCAGCACTCGCCCTCTTGAGTACGAGTAGGGTAAGGGTTAGTGTAGCTTGCGCTAGCAACAGCAACACGTGCCTCCATATTCACCCCACACCTCCCCTCATCAGGTAGGCCTTTACTTACGACATTATTTAGTTACGGTGCGCCGGCTGCTGCTATCTAGCGTTCGCACTGGCTACCGTGATTGGAGCGCCTGGGGCCTTTTCCTCCTCTCCCCTCACGCGCTTGTGTCTCGAGCTTTTCAATGTGTTCCATGATGACCTGTCGGCAGCGGCAAGAACAACGAGATTGAGACGGAGACAGCGGGGAAAACGTGCGCGAGTTACACGAAGGGCAGCGATTACAACTGTACGAGATTTGAAAATTAAACCCTTTCACAACTGCAGCGGTAAAATTGTCGGCAAGAGAAGGGGACACGCCCCATGCATTCTTGGCATCCAAGCCAATTGGTCATTGTGCGCGATTCCATCAGAACGACCGAGGCAGCCCAACTCCTTGCCGAAAAAATCGTGGACATTTTCTACAAAAGGCACTCTTCTGTAAAATGCGACCACGTGACGGTCAGAGGAGAGTAACGCCTCCCTGTGTAAGTGTTTCGATACATACGTCAGCAACGCTTTAACCGCCCCGGGGTATTCGCCCGATTGCTCCCTGCGAGCCCAACGGTTGACGGCATATAACCCAGTGGAAGGAAAAGAGATAACATAACAAGAGGGGAAAGAGGTGTCCAACGTGAGGGTCATATCGCGACGACATGGCGTTGAGCACACCCCTACACTTGCTCCAGTCTTGTACAGGTGAAGGGGTGTTCCTGTTCCCATGAAACCGTGCACCAACTGCAGCATGGCGAACGCAACAATGGACGTACGGTGAGCTCTCCGTCCTCCGTCAAGTAGAACGCAGCCATTGCCTAGTGGCGCGAGGATGGAAAGCCAACCCAAGACAACCCCAACATGCGCGTCATATCAGATCAGATCATATCACATTACACGCCCCTTTTCATCCATCCATCCATGCTCTCATCTTCCACACCACAAACACACAGCCACGAGAAGCCTGCCCTTGCTCTTTTCGGGATGCCACAAACCAACAGCGGTAGCTGTCCAGCAGCACCAGCACCAACCGGTGGCTGTTCCCCCACCTTGACGCAGCGGGACTTTTTCTGGGCGAGCGCCGCCTGTAGAGGTGTCTGTCCCTTGTACACCTGGACCACCGACGCCCCGTGGTCCAGCAGGGCCTTCGCAGTGAAAGGGAGGTCCAGCGCGCACGCCTGGTACAGAGGGCTGCCGCCATACTGCAACACATCCGCAGCAGCAGCAGCAGCAAGTGTGTAGGCGATATTGGCAGGGGTGGTGGCAGGGGCGGACATGCGTGTGTGCTACTTGACCGCGGTACAAGCGTATACGTTGGGTAGGGGGTGGTGCCCACGAGACCAGGGGTTGGGAATCGTGTTGCCTTGAGTGACGCTCAGAGGAAGAGCTCGTGCCGTGTCAAGAAAACTGACCTAGCCGAAACCACCGTGTTCTAGCATGCGTGAGGCGAACACGAAGAAGAAACATACACGCGGGACACAAGGGCATACTGCTGTTGCAGTTGCTGCTCCCCTGACTATAATACTGTCTTGTTGTGGTTTGCCTATCTTTTTTATGATACAGTACGGCAGCAAACGAGTATCGATCGCCCTTGCTGCACGTACAGTACTCCGCAGAAACGACTCCAACTCCGTCGAAAGCAACAACCAAACGCTTTTTGCTTTGTCCACACCACCGTTTGAACTAGCCAAAAAGAGTGTCGCTTGGTTCCCGCTCGATGAAACGTCCGAACGGAAGGGCGATTTCGCAAAGGCCGCTTTCTGGCACAACACGACACGCACACGTTCTCCGTGAACGTCCCCAACAAACACAAACCCGTGCCAGTCTGAACACGCCGACGGGCACACAGAGAGAGAGTGGTAAGCAACGGTCTGCCCCCCCCCCAGGGCAGACAAATATAGCGTCGCCTCACGTTGTCCCACAGAGCTTCGTCTCCGGCGTTCGGGTCGACTCCATCTTCGGCAAGCAGCTCGGCCAACAGCTTGAGGGCGTGCGGGTCCTCGTCCTCGTCCACACTGGAAGATATCACCGCGTTGCACAACGCTTGTAGCACCCGCCCGGTGTCGAGGGTGTCACCCTGCAGCAGCAGCACCAGCACCACCACCAGTACATGCAGCACGCAAAATACAGCCGGTGTCGCTACAAGTAGTTGCATCTTGGAGTTTTCGAGCGAGAGACAGACACGGTCCGCATGACGAGGAAAGCCTGACGATGACCAGGGCACGCAATGCTACAGATGCGCCCACAGCGTAGCTAGCTAGATTGTTCTGCTGCGAGCGTCCGCTACGCGCAGTGCAGCACCGACATTGGCGTTGAAGGTACGGGGAGTACTGTTGATACCGTCTTTGGCTCGAGATCCGACTCTTCACTCTTCATTTCGAACAACAATATGTACAAGTCTACAGCAGTTCGTGTGTAATACGAGCTCTACTCGTGAACAGGGCAACAAACACGGTTCGCAACGACTGGTTACTACTGCACGATATGTTGTGGGAATGCAGTACGATATTTGTTCTCCGCGACCGTCTGCGCACCGAAAGCAGATCGGACAAAGGCATACTTTGTACTTTGAAGTACTGTATGTTCGAGCAGACTCTTGTAGATGATAACCGCGCTCATGCTCTGCAAGTTCTGGTATCCCGTGCACATGAAGGTGCCAAGCAGTTGATTCAACCCCACGACAAGGTATTGTCGTTACTGATGGGAATGACAAACTACACAAGAAGGGGGTAACAAGGTCATTACAATGACTCTCTACCAACGCGCAATGCATGGGTGAAGATAATAAAGATTCGTTGCAAGAACACTGCTGTAAGAAGATTGCGGGAAATATGTGTACAGAGTGATTAAATTTCTTTTTTATTAATTTTCGTTTCATCAAAACCTTCCGATTGGACCTGCTACTTTCATGTACGTCCCAACAGCAGTCTACAAGTAAGTGAGCGACGCGAGTGTCTCGGCACTCTGGCCAAGTTTTGGAAGGCAGCATCACCTTCAGCTTGGAAACATGTTCACACAATAGCCCTGGACGCTAGGGATGGTTGCGGCTGACCCCACGCCCTCTGTGTAACCCTCTCCTCCCTGTGCAACAACAACATTTTCTCCTACTCACATTTTGTATTTGACTAAGAACCCGGGCCGGGGTCGCGAGCAATGGAGACGCCGCAATTTTCCTCCTCTTCAAGACTGGTGTTTCGGACCCTTCGTCATCCCTCGGAAGGCTTTCGGAAGGCATCTCGGCTGGGTAAGGACGAGAATTGTAGGCTGCTTTGCGATTGCGCGGGGGTAAAGGTATCACACGCCAGAGACGGAGTTTGAGAGACAGAGTCGCCCAGCACCCCAAAGTGTTGGAGGGACGCTCAGCGCAGGCACGGGGTAGGATGTGCGGATTGCACGGAGCCCCCCATTTTCGTAGATGTGGTAGATTCAGCATGTCATATCCTAGATCCCATGCCATGCATAGATACCAGGACAGCTTGAAGGTTTGCTGGCACATGAGAGGGCTATAGCCTCGCTCTTCCACTTGCCACACTCCCCACAGCAGTGGGTTTCCCTGCAAAGTGTTCCGAAGACACAACAGAGCGGTGTCCCGAAAAAAATGTACCGACAGAGAACAGAGAGGAGGTTGGGTTTTGTTAGCAGACGATGTTTTTGTTTTTTTGTTTGTTTCTCTCCCATCATTGGACTCTGCCGTCTGCCCCTCTGGCCCCTATCCTCCACTTCTACTGGCTAGACGACCCAACCGGGGTCACATAGGAGGGGGGGGTGGACCCCCCTCCTGCGGTTCATGCCTGAGGTATTTTTATCGCGAGAAGGGTACAGCAATCCCTTCCCTCGCGACTTACGAAGTCGATTATGGTTTACTAACAAACGAGCTTTGCAGCGCGTCGCTTTCATCCTAGATAGACCAGGATTTATTTAGTGAGAAAAAAACTCTCCCTGCCGGGACTCGAACCCATGACCTGGCCCTTAGCAGGCTGCGAGGCTACCCACTAGACCACCGGGGCGACCGGTGTATTCAACAATCGTTTAAGAAAAGCAGCATTATTCAAGTTATTTCTCCACGCTACGATGTACTAGAATGTACTACTGCACACACACATAATCTTCGTAGCTCATGAAATAAGGTGGGGTTGCGGTGAAGGATGGATGGAGAACCGCAAGCAGTGAGAGTAAGTAGTGATTATGGTCGAGTGCGCGGCCGTGCTCGAAAGCCACCGCGACCCGTCCTCAGATACCTTCACTTCACGATAGATGCATGTTTTCTAGTCGATGGCAGACTGCCAATCATAGCCAGTTGACATCGAATTCGTAGTAGTCACTCCTGCTTCGACGTTCATGGAATCATCAACGAAGACATGCACGAAGTGAAGACTACTCTGATTTATGTACCGCACCCAGGCGCGACGACCGCCCACTTAGCTTAGCTTAGACCTCGGCGGTTTCATCATTTCATCATTGAATCCTCAAGGAAGAAACGTCTCTGGTACAAAACAGCAAGTAGTGGTCAGCACCGTCAGCGCCCGCGGCATCATCATCATCATCATCATCATCATCGCCATCACACGAGCAGCACGAGGAAGAATGTACCATCCACTAACTGTACTCGTTCCAAAACGGAGAAAACGACATGCAAGAACTTCGAACACTCAAAGAAGACACGATCCAATGGTTATGGTCCACAGCAATCATCACCATTCAACAATCAATCATTTCCGTTATGAATAGTCTACGCAACAACAGGTAACGGCTTGCACGGTAACAAACTAAACGCCTTGCCCTACGTAGAATGTTCGCCTCCCAATCACACACTACACGCCAGCCATAGCTGGGTTGAGACGATAGCGGGACTTGGATGTACGGCAAAGGACCAAACGACCACATACGCCCCGGTGGTCTAGTGGGTAACCTCGCAGCCTGCTAAGGGCCAGGTCATGGGTTCGAGTCCCGGCAGAGTGAGTTTTTTTCTCGCTAAATAAATCCTGGTCTAGGATGAAAGCTACGCGCTGCAAAGCTCGTTGTTAGTAAACCATAATCGACTTCATAAGTCGCGAGGGAAGGGATTGCTGTACCCTTCTCGCGATAAAAATACCTCAGGCAGGAACCGCAGGAGGGGGTCCAGCCCCCCCCTCCGATGTGACCCCGGTTGGGTCGTCTAGCTAGTAGAAGTGGAGGATAGGGGCCAGAGGGGCAGACGACAGAGTCCAATGATGGGAGAAAAAAAAAAAAACGTGGGCCTGTAAACAACAATATCCACAAAACATACAAAGTGAGGCTAACGCTAATGCTCTGGACAAAGCACCACCACCAAATATCCAAATGCCAAGGGGGTTGCCACACGTATAACTAGTATCCCCTTGCCTCGTGAAAAGTTTTTGGTCTGTGCCCTGGAAGGAGTAAAACGGGACGGCAGCAACGGAAGAGTTTAAGCTCCTGTCGTGCGGCAAAATGTCAATGTCATGGGACCTACAGTAACGAACGTCGGCCGAGCGAAAGTAAGTACAGTCTCGAACGACGCTAGCCGAAATATTTTTTGTGCTTGCTCGTCGGCAGCAATCATTAACATATGCAAGGAAAAACAACGGAAATCGCAAAGTGGTGTCTGGTTTTTTACCCTCTTATGCATGCAAGACGGACAAACTATGTGGCATCCAGCCTAAAAACAAAGTCATGTTCTTCGTTCTACGACCAACATGTACAACAACCTATGCGTAGCCACTACTGTTTACACGACATTCCCCCGTTTGTACAAAAAAGACTGCTGTACCCCAGAAAACAACGGCAAAAACAAGAGCAGCGAGTATCGAAGCGTCTGGAAGGCGAAGTCTTGCGCGTTTCGCAGCTGCGATCGGCTCAAGGTGTTCTGGCACCAAACGACTGCGGGACACACACCAAACTTTGCACTCCAATCAACCCCAGCCGAGGATGCACCTCTTCAATTTTACTCCGAGTATTGTACTATCATAGAGCCGCTGGTTCGCCAACTTCACGGGAACGATTACGCGTGCCCCGCATCCGGTATATCCGAGGTCAATAGTCAAACGATAAATACGGCAAGCACGACTATGAGTTGGAGTACATGCCGCGCATCCGGAATACCGTGTACCGTGTACCGTGGGCAACAACCGTACCCGTGACCACGACCGAGGAAAGCAGACCCGTCATCCCGGAGCGAACTCTCCCGCCACCAGTGGTGTCCTCGCCAACTTCAAGGGACCAGACCAACACGCAGACGTGTGGGATGTGTGATCCCTTACTCTGTCACGCACACGGCGGTATGTATATCGAGTACCTCATAAAGTCCCCATCCTTCACCACTCGGAAAAAGGCGGTTTCATGGGTTGTACATCCTTCGGGACTTCGCCCCCCGGCCCCCCCATTCCCTTGCACCGGCATTGGCATTGGCGGCCTCCTCGGCCGCCTCCGCTTGTGGCGATCTCGATCCCGGCAGTTTGAGTAACCGGCAAACGTCGTTGCAGACGTGTGTCCGGAAGAACTTGTGCATGCCCTTTTTGCCGAGATCTGTGCGGCCGAACATCTGCTGCCGCGCGATCTGCGAGTTGGAGTGTATGACAGGGTCTAACGGAGGAGAGGGAGAGGGAGGGGAAAGGGAGACAACAGGGATGGTGAATATCGAAAAATTGAGACGTGCGGGCACAAGGCTTGGATTGAAGCGAAGCAAGGTAGAAGCAAGGTAGAAGGAAGATAAGAAGGAAGAGGAGAGAAGGAAGGGGGCAGATAGCAACGGACGAGAATTACGTTCCTGCCTTGCCCATAGCATCCCATGTGGAAATGCACTACTACTGCTCGACACAACCCATGACCTTGTTAACACCTTGTTAACGTCCGAGACGGCGATCGGTTCAATGATAAAAAATCAAACACACCAGCAGCAGCACGTGTGCCATTTCGGTGAATCTTGTACAGTGCTTACCCGAACTCCAACGCTGTCAGCAACGAACGTCTGCTACAATGTTCCGCGTTCTCATCGCAAGAGGAGCAAGCCGGGGGGTTCTCCGAGGCACGCACGCACGACGAGGCTGAAACTCAGAAATACTGGCTATTATTGGAAGCTCAAATACCTTACCAATATACTGTATAACAACCAGGCCTTGTCGAAGTGTCCGATTGTGAATAGAGCAGGATAGAGGTTCGATTCCTACATACCTGCAGTCTTGAGTTGTTACGGACTGTTTTTCAGGTGGACAGAAACAGTTTTGTAACCTCCTGTCTACGTTTTATTCGGTGCGGTTCTTCCCTTCATAGTCTTGAGTGTTCGCCGACTTATTTTCAGTTGGACAGGAACAATACTGTTACTTATTTTCTTGGTTGGATGTTGTTCGGTGCGCCAGTCTCGAGCGCCCTCCCTCGGGTGTTCAGAATACGCCTTCGACTTTCTTTCCCCGAAACTTCCTTCCAAGGTTACGGCGGTTCAGTTGCATGCGCACTGACGACGCGTTTTCACCGCTACTGGAGTCTTCCTACAACATATCCACAACACCTTTCGACGTTACCCGTGAGCTGGTAGACCCCTGCGCAGAATGGGTTGTCCGGCAGTCCGGGGCACTCCACCCCCTGCAGATCACACACGAGCCTCTTGTGCCCCGACCGTGCGAACGAGAAGTGGGAGAACGCCTGCAGGTAGTCCGTAGGCCGTGGCGCGAATCCCACGAAGACTTCCTCCCGGCCCCGCTTCCGGCTCCTCCGGTCGCCACCGCTACCGCTGCCGCCGCCGCTACCGCCGCCTGCCCAACCACCCCCGCCGCGGAGGTATTCCTCCGCCCCATCGCCGTAGTCTACCGCGCTTGCTCCTCCTCCCGCGGCAAAGGCACAGGCACCACCACCACCGATGGAGAGCTGAGTCCCGCCAGCCATGAGGCGGTCTGCGCGGGCGTAGGAAGTGGCGCCGTCCGCTGCCGTTCCCGCGGAAGGTTGGTGTACGGAGGCGTGACCTCTACCGTGGAACACGTACCCTGCGGATGGTAGATGGTAGATGGTCATTTTTGGAAGCGTTGGAAGGTGAGATGGCAAGTGTCACCAGGAGGGGAATCATATGTGGGTTATTGTATGCGTGGCACTTCAAGTGTCACTCTAAAAGTAGGAACGTTATGTGGGCTAGCATTTTCAAGTGTGACTTTCATAGGAGGAACGTTCAGTAAGTTAGCATGGTGCGTCCTTCGATGAATCAGTAAGGGGTCATGTTTAGCGCGGGGATGAGGCGCGGACCTGTCACGGTTTGACAAGATAGCTTGCTGTCGAAGGCGTGATAGCGAAACATGATAGTGCGCGACGTTGTTGGACTATTGTCGAGCTATTGCTATGGCGGAAACCGCTGCT